AGAACCATCAATCATATTTCTGTCAATGGTACCACCTCAGAAAGGTCTCCCATCTTTCATATTGTTCTTCGGGTTTTTTCAGTGTTTACCACAACCTGAAATTCAATATGGGTTGGATATCCTTTATCCAAAATGCCTGAGACCAGAAGTATTTCCAATTTTGAACTATTTGCATACACATGGGTTATTGGAAGGAAAATCCAAATCTAAGCACAAATTTCATTTGTTTCACACACACCTTATACACACAGCCTGAAAGGAACTTTATATATTACTTTTGGAGTACTGCAGCATTTTAACTGCTACCTGTAATGAGACCAGGTGAAGAATTTTCCATTTGTGGTGTCATGTCAACTATTAGAAAGTTGAATTTTGGCGCAAATCAGATTTCAGATTAGGGATGCTCAACCTGTATGTTTATTTACTTGTTTATTATGTCTCCCAACCAAATGTAAACATTACAAGGACTAGGACTTTACTCCACCACTATACCTAAACAGTATCCAACACACTCTGGGTGCTTAAGAAATTAAGAAATATTTATTGAAGAAAAGGCTAAATAAACAATGAGATCTGATAGTACTGCGTGATAGTTAAGGTGCTGGGTCCCCAAATGATCAACTGTGGTCTGTCCAAGACAAGGAAGCTTGAAAATCAAAACAAATAAATACATAAAGAAATAAATATTTCAAAAAATTAAACTCAGGTATTTGGGGAAACTATTAAATGTATGCTTCAGCTTTGAATTTCCGTCGTAAAGGTTACAGAACTCTGAAACTTCTATCTGTAGTACTAGTACTTCTTTATGACAGAAAGGTTAATGGTTACTTAACAAATTCACTGTTCACTACAGAGCTAACTACAAGATAGTTCATTTACACTGCTTTAACATCACCATATGCCAATTAACTATATTTGTTGTTTCTGCACTTCTCAGTGATCGGAGTTTCAGGCTGTCGTGGTTGTTCTGTGGCAGAGCCCTTGTGTAGCTGTTCATTGCTGTATACTTGCTGCCGAAGAGCACACTGGCCATAGAAGAGGCACTAAACATTTACCTGTTCAATGAAACAATTATGTTTTCACCCGGGTTCCCAAATAATCTGCGTTTACCTGTGGTATATGTGGTCCTCCTGTGTTCATTTAGCTGATTTTTTAAGTTTAATGTTAGATTAACAACAGAGAATTGCTCTGTCGAGGGAAATGCTTACAGTGTTTTAAATGTAAGCAATAAATAAAGGACTGTATTAGTAAAAAGCCCCAAATTTCCTGATTTTAATTGATTCCTTCTACAATAAAGAGAAAGCAATAGAGGGGCTGGCAGGCAGTGTGGTGGTTAAGGGCGCTGGACTCTCACATGGCCAATCTTGGTTCAAGTCCTGGACCTGGTGGCTTGCTTTCTCAATTTCTGTCTCTTTCTCTCTCTCTCACTCTGTCCCTCTCTGGTCAAATTTAAAATAAATTAATTAATTAAATTAAATAAGTCTTTTTTACTGATTATTTATTTTACATTCACTCATTGGACATCTACATAATTCTTAAACAAGAGAATGCAATAAAAAATAAGTAGAAGTTGAATAATTCAGTTTATTGATATCCTTGATAATACTCATTTTAGGAAGGACTGTTATTTCAGTCTGCCATAAGATACATGTACATTATAACGTCACCTGTTACATACAGAATACCTTCAACTGTATATAGCAAAGTTTTTCCCTATACTGTTTTAATGGGTCATGTCACCTGAAGTATGCTTGTAATTTGATGGCTGGCAACTTTTTTTTCACTTTCACAATTCAATAAATCAATATGCACTGTCTACCTTGGGCACAGATGCTAAGGACACTACATCTCAAAATAATGTCCTTCATCTAAAAAAAAAAAATCACAATCTAACTGGCTTAAAGAGTTAAGACTTTCATGAATATATGAGGAGGTCAGTATACTTTCTCCACCAACTTCTACCCCTCACTCTTCCAAGTAAACTTAAAAACAAAGTCGAAATTGTCTTTAAAAAATTTTTAAAGCAAAAGCCAGAAACAAAAACAAAAAAAAAACCTTTAATATGTTACTTCTGGGGACCAGCAGATGGCATGGTGGTTAAAGCGCTGGATACTCCCACATGGTCAACCACGGTTTGAATCTCGGACCTGGTGGCTTGCTTTCTCACTTTCCCTCTCTCCCTGTATGTGTCTCTCTCTGGTCAAATTAAAAAAATAAAATGGATGAATAAGTAG